AGGAGGAGGAGGAGGAGGAGGAGGAGGAGGAGGAGGAAAGCTCGAGGGGGTTCAAGGAAGAGGAGTAGATAAAGGCTCCTTATGCTTTGGCAGGTACTACGACAAAGGGATAAAGCTGAGCCCTCATCCGCTGCTCTACTCCAATAGGTCACCCTCGTCGACCTCCTCGCAGAGATTTTTATCTCCCAGCAGGGCAACGGCATACACAGAGCTGAGCTCATACACTGCCGCGCTCAAAGACATGGAAGAGGCGATCCGCTGCTGTCACGAGCGGATGGGGGGGGCGGGGAAAGGAGAAGACCTTTCGACTTTGACCCGGGTGTACAGGAAGAAGATCAGGTACAGCAGCACAGAGAGTTTTATCTCCCTCCTCAAGATGGGCAGGATCCTGGAGTTGAGCGCAAAGGACTCGAAAGACGAGAGAAAGGGGGTCGAGCAGATCTTGAGCGCAGTGGAGGTGGAGTGAGAGAAGTGGAGGGAGGAGGGCGAGGATAAGGTCCTGACAGGATGCACTGCTGGATCGACATGTGGAGGCGAACATGAAGGAGGAGTTGACGCAGAAGAAGGAGGAGACCCTCAGGAAGTTGGAATGGGTACGGAGAATGGACGATGCCAAGGAGGAGACGGCGAACGGGGACAGGATGTTTCAGGAGGGCAATGTAAGTTGTTTCCTCCCTCCTTGTAGAGTAGATCTCACTTCCTCTGTCGCAGTTTGCAGCTGCAATCCAGTTCTACAACAAAGCAGAGGCAGCAGACTCGAAGGCTGAGCGAGCAGACGCATACTTGCTCTACTCCAATCGTTCTGCGTGCTTCATTGAGATGAAGAGGGGACGGTGAACTCGATTGTTCCTGCTCCTGCTCCTGCTGCTGCCCCTGCTGCCCCTGCTGAGTGACTGTTGGTGGCAGGCAAGCGCTAGCGGATGCAGAGAGGTGTGTAGAGCTGAAGCCCGACTGGCACACTGCGTAAGTCTCTTGATCTCTTCCTCTTCCATCAGCCTCCAGGATCGTCTGACTGGCTCGTCAGCCACATGCTCAAGGGCCGCGCACACGAGGTGCTCGGGGAGGACTGGAAAATGCTGGAGAGCTGCCTGCGAGCGTATGAGCTGAAGGAGGAGGACAAGAACAACCTTGCGATGCTGCGAGACTGTCTGGTGAAGCTCGTCTGCGAGGGAGGGAGACAGGTAGTTCCTTGATCTGCGTGAGGAGGGTAACATCAATGTCGACAGCGCCAGGCGCCCTTGCCCGAGCTGATGGAGAGGTTGAGGGAGGACGAGGAGGTGAAGAAAATCTTGCGCGACCCCAAGGTCTTGGCGATCTTACAGGCGATCCACGAGAGAAAGGACGCTAGCCTCCTTATCGCTACCCTGCAGTCTGACCTGGCCATGTGCGGCAAGCTCGCGAAACTATATCATGCTGGAGGGCTCGGGATATGATAGTTATGGTTCCTTGTACTGTCTCTGCAAGGGGAGGGGCGGAGGATGGAGTAGGATAGATGGATGTGGTGCTAGATCAATGGATAGGATGAAGACAAAGAGGGGGATACAAGGAAAGTTTATACGTCAATTAACAAAGGTCTATCATGCGTTCAACTCTGCATCACCAGCGGGAGCAAGCACAGATGTCTAAGAAGTGCCTGACAAGCTCCTGTTGTCCCGAAGCAAGAAATGGAGGCTCGATCAGAGAGCAAGCATCACGAATAAGAGGCAAGGGCAGCCAAAGGGGTTAAGGATGCGCAAGAGCAGGAGCAGGAGCAGGAGCAGGAGCAGGAGCAGGAGCAGGAGCAGGAGCAGGGGCAGGGGCAGGGGCAGGGGCAGGGGCAGGGGCAGGGGCAGGGGCAGGGGCAGGGGCAGGGGCAGGGGCAGGGGCAGGGGCAGGGGCAGGGGCAGGGAGCAGGGGCAGGGGCAGGGGCAGGGGCAGGGGCAGGAGCAGGAGCAGGAGGAATGGCACACTGGTGTAGGAACGGGTATGAATGTTTGGGGGGCGGTGGAAGGTCACAGGGAGGGGTGGTAATTATATCCCGTGCGTGGGAAAGGACATGGTAGGGTCACCCTGCTTGAGGGGATGGGGTCAATTCTGTCGGGGCCCGCATGCGCTGCTGAGGACGATCGTTGGAAGGACGAGGAGAGACGCGAGGGAGGGTGGACGTGAGGAGGAGGAGACCTGTGTACGATGCAGACATCAGAGCGATCTTGTGCATGGTAGAGAGCTTCATCGTGTGATGGATCCTGTCACCATGAGAACGTGCAGGAAATAGAGAATAGTCCACGTGTATGATTCTGTGAGACATGATGAAGACATTGGGGATGATGTGTGTTCTTGTTATGTTGGTTGACGTTCGGATGCAAAGTGTGAGAAAGAGATCGAGAGATCCATGAGAATGGATGTTTGATTCCTGGCAGCAAGCGATTGACCCGCGAATGACTGGGATCGTGTGCTAGGGATGACGTCGATAGAAGACAAGCAGGCAAGGGAGGAGGCAAGTCCGATGACTGAGGAAGAGAAGCCTTTCTTTGATGGGTAAGAGTATTCTGCATCATAATCACGACACCGTTCTGTTTGTGATGTTCTAGACTGTTACTTGTTTCCTGTCTTCATGTCATCATTTGACTTGGTTTGGTCAGGGTGATCGCTGCGCTGACAGAAGAAGAGAAGCAACTTGCGTTACAAGATCCTCTTGATGTCCTCATAATCGTCCGTGGGTTTGCCACAGAGAATCCGAGGATGCAGGTGCTTGCACTGAATGCTGGCGTGTGGAGCTGAACTGATGGTGTGCAGGCAACGATAGACGCCATGAAGAAGATATACGCATGGAGGAGGGAGATTGGTTATTACAACTTCCTGAAGCACAAGATGGAGGATGCAGACAACTTCCACAAGTACTGGCCTGAGACGATGTGCGGGACGGACAAGTACGGCCATTTCCTTCAGTGCCTGAAGGCTGGTGATATCGACATGGATAAGTTGGAGGCGATGGATGAGAAGCGTTTGGAAGCCTTGCAAGGTCAGCGGATGCTGGCGTACGGGATGTACAAGAGGAACCTGAGCAGGGAGAAGGGAGTGCAGCGATACAAACACACTCTCGTTGTGGATCTGCACGGAGTGTCCCTCAGCCTCACCAAGAGCTCCAAGAGAGCCTTGCTGAAGAGGATTTTCGACGTCGGGACTCACTACTACCCGGAGACGATGTGGAAGATCTACGTCGTGAACACTCCTATGCTCTTCCGAGGGATTTGGGCGATAGTCAAGCCGTGGCTCCATCCCATCACAGTAGCCAAGGTGAACCTACTTGGAGGGTGAGTCGAGTCACTCGAGGGGGGTGGGGGTCTTGACAGCCTGCCAGTCACTCCTCGGCGATGAAGCAGATGGAGCAGGAAGGGATTCCTGCCTCCCACATGCCAAAGTGGATGGGAGGGGGCTGCGAGGGCATGCCTGCGTCTGTCTACATCAACTCGGTAAAGATTTGCCACAGGGCATTTCGAGGTAGTGACAATTGCCTGCAGCTGCTGCCGCAACATGGATAGGGTGGAAGCAGAAGCTCGTAGTCCTCAGTGTTAACGGAGTTTCATTCGTCAAGGGTAAGGAAACGCATAGCCACTTACTTCTTCCCTTCCAGCGAATTCACCACGTCGAACAACCCAAAGCCCACCCTGAAGGGAGGAATGCTGATCAAGGCCTGGAACGACTCATCTTGTTTCCTTGAGGCCTCTGAGGTATCCATACAGTCAGTGGGTCAGCAACAACTCGTTACACTGGGCTCACCCTTCCCTATCTTCAAGAGGCTGTCGTGGATGTTACACGTCCACTGATCCTTCTCAGTGAAACTTTTCCCTCGCAACCTGACGCTTCGAAGGCAACTCAACCTCTCCTTTTCGATCTCTTGGAACCCCCTCGTCCAACGCCTCACCACCAACGAGTTCGTCCAGACTGCAAGATAGTCGGGATGGCTCTTCCGGAATCCAGCGTCCCCCATCATCGCAAGGCAGCGCTCATAGACCCTGCCCGCGTTCACCTCCTGCTGCTCCGCTCCCGTCCCTCGTCCTACCTTCCGCTTGACACAGGCTGCAGTCCAGAAGAGATTCCCGAGCACGTTCAAAGTTCTCGCTGCTTCCAGCACATCCGACGGTTCCTCTACTTCGAGCATCTCCCTTGCCCGCTCGGCCGTCTCCAACCCCTCTTCGATCGAGCCAGTCTTGTGTCTGAGGTCAGCCAGCATTGCCAGGTTCTTGGCGTGCAGGAATCTCAACTCGTTGTTGTCGCGATTGTCTTTCTTGGGCGAGAAGAAAGAAGTAGCCTTCACGTTCTTCTCTGCTAGCAACTTGGCCTCTTGCAAGCTTGATTTCGCTTGTAGGAGAGTAAGGTTTGAGTCCAAGCCGTGCAGGACCAGCTGGTTGGGTCTGTATGCTCTCTCCGCCATGTAGCGAGCTCTCTTCATGCGCTTTACCGGCTGGCTAGAGGGTTCCTCCAGCTGCATGACGCTCTCGTTCACCGCGAGGTCGTTGAGGCACCCGGCCAAGTCCGTGTAGGCGTCATGAGTGTATCCCTGCGATGAGAGCGACTCGCAGTTTCTCAACGCGTTCTTCAGCTCATGGTCGGCGGCATGGAGGCTCCCGCTCAGATGTAAGGCGAGGCCGAGACCATTCGCTACCACCCAAGCGACGGACGAGTTGGACTCCATCATTGGCTTCTGTTTGGTGAAAACATTCGTGGCCTTCGAATACTGACAACTCGTGATCAAAGACGCACCCTCTTTACACTTCATGAGAACTTTCTTCAGCTGTTTGTTGTCCACTGCATTGACAACGCAGTGATGCATGTTAACGAGCTTGGGGTCCACCACCTATGAGATGGTTTACACAGAGAAACAAGCATGCAAGCATATAAAGCTCTCTGAGATCCTGTGTCTACTTGAGTACGTTTCACATCTCGTTAGCTTTATCTGTCCTTCTGTCCCATTCCCTCTTGTCATGTCCTCCTCTACTTCCTTTCTCTGTTATCTCCTCCTCTCCTCCCTTCCTCTCCTCCTCCTCGCTGCATGTTCGCAGTCCGTACCTTCGCTCGACCAGCCATAGTCACGTTGCAAGCCCGCCTCGACTCTGTCGCCGGCCTCAGCCGCAGTGCGCCGGGCCAGACCGTCCCAGTGCCACTGGGAGTCGGACTCCGACAGGGCCCGGGCGTTCAAAGTCGGTCTTAGTACCCGGTGGCCGGGCAGCCGCAGCAAGCAAGCCTTGAAGCCGCAGCCGGGGTCGAACAGAACTCCGAGTAGGCCGGGCGAATAAGTCTTTCAAGGCTTCCAAGTCCGCACCCGGCAACAGTCCGTCGGGCGCTACGGCCGGCCCTGCGGCCGCATTGTGGCAACTATTAGTAACGGGGGCGGTCCGGAATGCCACAACTGCCCTTGTGACCCCTCCCCCAGTCTCCCCGGCCCGCCCCCCGACGGGGGCCCGGCCCGGCCCGGTCCGTGACGCCGGGGCCCCGGCCCGGCCGGGCACCTTACACGCCGAACCCGCCTCAGACCGAGTATGGACGGAAAATGAGGGTCAAGGGATCATAGAGGGGAAGATGGAGGAAGAGGAGAGAAGTCGGGTCGATGCTCGAGACTTGTCTCGGCGAGGACGAGCAAGCGGCAGGGACAAGTGACGCGATGCGAGCATGCGGAGATCGTGAAGCAAGTGCTGCAGCTGCGGGTCTATGATCAATGCAACAAAGAGCGGCCATGTCCTCGCCGCTGCCCTTGCTCTTGCTGCTGTTGTTGATGCAGGCAAGATGCGCTCATCCGCATGTTCTTGGATGGGATGAAGCGATCCAGCAGGGGCTGTCCAGGTTGAACTCCAAGAAAATCCAATTGAGAGACTGGCAGAGAAGCGTCGTCGACTCATGGCGCGATGGAAAAGACTCGTTCGTCCTCAGCAGTACGGGTAATGCATGTTCCCTCCCTCCCTCCCTCTCATCCCTCTCATCCCTCCCATCCCTCCCATCCCTCCCATCCCTCCCATCCCTCCCATCCCTCCCATCCCTCCCATCCCTCCCATCCCTCCCATCCCTCCCATCCCTCCCATCCCTCCCATCCCTCCCATCCCTCTCATCCCTCCCATCCCTCCCATCCCTCTTATCCCTCTCATCTCTCTCAAGACGATAACACTTGCCAAAAAAAGGGTCGGGCAAGAGCGTGTGCTATCAGCTACCTGCGATGATTAGCGGGAAGACCTGCATCGTAGTCAGCCCGTTGATTTCGTTGATGCGAGATCAGTGCGAACAGCTCGTAGAGCAAGGGGTTTCAGCCTGCTACCTCGGCTCAGCCCAGCCAGACAAGATGGTCCATGGGAGGGCGATGAGCGGAGAGTACCTCCTCCTCTACATCTGCCCTGAGACCCTCGTCAAGATCTGCGACAGCCTGTGGCGCCTGCACCATGAGCAAGGGAAAGTGTGTCTGCTCGCAGTCGACGAGGCCCACTGCGTCTCCAAGTGGGGACACGATTTCCGACCTTCGTGAGGCCCTCGGGAGGAGGGAGGAAGGACCTCTGAGAGCTCCGCAGGTACCTCGACCTTGGTAGAGCCTTCCAGCAGCTGCATGATGGGCCTCGGGGAGCGATACCTGTGATGGCGCTAACGGCTACCGCAAGCCCTCCAGTGCGAGAGGACGTGGTGGGAGGTTGCTCTCGAGCTCGGGGAGAGTCTGACGAGTTGTTGTGTTGTGAAGATGAAGATCCTCAGGCTGGGGAGCAGCAGGAACGGGGACATGTTCGTGTGCCTCAACTCCTTCAGTCGCCCCAACCTCTGCTTCACCGTCCACCACACCAACATGGATAACCTCCAGTGCCTGGAGAAGGACCTTGCTCCGTACTTCGAGTACGCGGGAGACCCAACGCTGCTGATGAAGGTACCTCCTCCACCCCACCCCCTTCCTCCTCCTCCTCCTCTCCCTACTCCTGCATGTTCTTGTAGCGCCTGACGGTATGGCAAGGGTGACAACAGGATCGTCGCTGGGATCCGCACGCTCAGGTCAACCTGTCTGCTTGCTCCTCCTGCACATGCTGACCGACCCCAGCAAGCAAGAAGGAGCGGGGGCGGCCGGTGGAGAGGAGGAGGCTTGTAGCGCAGTGCCAGTACTCTCGAGCCCTCCCGCTCCCCAGTGGTGTCTGACTGACCCCCATCGACTCGCCTTCCAGGATCTGCATCGAGTCTCCATGCCCGAGGAGGAGGAGGCGAGGGTTCTGCGCGTTTTCAGGGAGCACACGGTCCCTCGGGCTCGGCCAATCTCAACTTACGTTCCTCGGATGCCTGAGAGCAACTCGCGGGGAGGGTCGATCATTATCTATGCCCCGACGCGAAACCTTGTCAAGCTGATTGCCATGAAGCTGCGGGTGAGGAGACATCATCATCATCATCATCATCATCATCATCATCATCATCATCATCATCATCATCATCATCATCATCATCATCATCATCATCATCATCATCATCATCATCATCATCATCATCATCATCATCATCATCATCATCATCATCATCATCATCATCTCTGGAGAGGTTCGAAGGTGCTGGTGACTTCAGCCTTGCAGAAGCTCGGGGTATCAGCAGAGCCCTTCCATGCCGGGCTCACGAAGCATCACCTGCACAAGGTCCAGCAGGACTTCATGAGGAACAAGTGCAAGTGCATCGTCGCTACCGTAGCCTTCGGGATGGGCATCAACAAGCCTGACGTGCGGCTGGTCGTCCACTATGGGTGGCCACAGGGGCTGGAGCAGTACTTCCAGGAGGCAGGACGGGCCGGACGAGACGGGGAGGAGGCCAAGTGTGCTCTCTTCGTGGACTTCCGGGGGGTCCCGTCGCTGCTGCCCTCGCAGTGCGACGAGGAGCGACGAGCGACGCTGCAGCGAGGGCTGACCGCCGTCTTCCTCTACGCCGTGAGGCTCAACCGCTGCCGTCTCCAGCAGATCCTTAGCAGGCTGGGAGACGAGGCTGCTCCTCCCTGTCGCAAGTGCGACGTCTGCAGTCAGGGCCAGCAGCCCGAGCAGCAGCTGGGCAAAGAGGCCGCCACCTTGCTGCGCGAGGTGCATGGGAAGGGGGGGGAGACGTGGGACAGGGGAACATGGCAGGAGGCAGTGAGTTCCTGGCACAAGAGCTGCCCGAGCCGCAGCGTGTCGTTCTGGCGGGGGCTAGCCCGGCTGCTGCTGGAGGAGGGTGTGCTAGAGGACCTGCACGCCCCTGCCTCCCTGCTGCTGCCCTTTGGTGCCCCACGGGTGACGGAGGAAGGAACAACTTTCCTAGGGCGCTGGGACGCGGACCAGCAGAACACAACGAAGATGCTGCGACCTGAAGCTGACATGCTGGTCTAGCAGCAAGGAGAGCTCTGATAGCTCAGAAGCAGTCGGAACGGACGAGGACGAGGACGAGGACGAGGACGGAGAGGAAGACGGAGCAGCGGACTGGAAGGAGGGAGGGAGGGGAGAGGACTGGAAGGAGGGAGGAGAGCATTTATTTGCATTCAGTTTACTCACTCACTAGATGAAAATAACAAAGAGGAAAGAGAAAAGAGGGGGACTGGAGAGTCTTAGCAGCTGACAGAAACATAATAAGGCGACCCCGATATGAATTCCTGCATGAAAAGGTCAGAGGCAAGGAGGAGGAGGAGGAGGAGGAGGAGGAGGAGGAGGAGGAGGTCTACCTGGACATAGAGGCGACTGCTGGGAATGTCCGTGTACGTGACCTCGTCCTCGGAGTCCTGCAAGTTCACGAAGGTGGCCGGAGAGCCCGCTGCTCGCTTCCAGTCAAGCTGGATGTCGTAGAGCTGGCCGATGCTGTCAAAGACGTAGGAGGCATTCGTGGAATTCTGCGGGAGCCGTTAGAGGATGGAATAGCAAAAGAGGGTGAGATGAGAGTGGGGAGGAGGAGGGGAGGGAGGAGGGTCACCTGAGAAAGAGAGCTCCACTGGTCGATGATAAGAACGTTGTCGATCCACAGGCGAACGCGGTCAGACGGCAACCCGCTGTCCCACTTAAAGTAGGTGGTCTGGTTGGTGTTCATGTACATTCCATTCCATCGGATAGCGAACGCGCTGTCGGTTGCCTGCAGCCCTGCGCCTCCCCATAGCCCGGCACTCGCTTCGTTCACTGCCGACGTGTTGTCTGCGTTCGTTCCGATCTTGCCCATCCGCTTATTCGCTGCCGCCCCTGACACTAGAGTGTCCAACGGCGAGCTCCACGTCCCGCCCTCCCCGACCTCTGTGTAGGTGTAGTAAGTCGCTGCGACGCCGCCGACCGAAGTCCATGAGGCGTAGAGGTAGTGGATCAAACTCGCGGGGTCAGGAGTTGGCGGAACTTGGTAGTAGCCGGAAAGGCTGCCGTCCAGTGTCGGCGTGTTGTAGTCGGCATGTAGAGTGCCCTGGACGTTGATGGCGGTGGAGTCGTACATGGGAGGAAGCCCGTTGGTTCCCTGCTTGTTGATGCCCGAGGTTCTCACCACACGCACGATGAACTCCTGCTGGTTCGGCCCTGTGGTCTTGGCGTTGCCAAACTGATCGCGAGCCTGGATGGTGAAGGCAGACTTGGTGGGAGAGATCGAGGACATGGTGAGTCCAGTGCCTCTGATCGTGCTCGTGGTTCCACAGGTAGTGGCTGGCTTGACAGTGAGCGTGAAGGGCGAACCCTTGACGTTGTCATTGCCATGCTTGATGAACACTTCGTAGCCCTTGGCGTTCTGCAGAGTGAAGGATCCAGTGTAGGTGGCCAAAGTGGAAGGAGCATTGGCAATGACAGCTCCTGCGTACACTGGGGTGCCGCCCGACCCATGAAGGCTCACAGTGAAGGAAGCGCTGGTGTCCTCCCGCACGTTCTCATACGCATCCTTGCTTCTGATCGTGAAGCTCGAGCCAACGCCTGCAGTCGCCAGGGTGAGGCCTTGCGCGAAGGCAACGCTCTCGCTGGCGCAGGTGACGGCAGGCTGGATGCGGAGCCCTGAAGCAGCGTTGGGGACGTCCAGCCTCTGGAACAGCCTGTCAGACGTGATGGTTTCCAAAGTGGTGGCGGAGCTGGTCGATGTGGTGGTCTGGTACTGCCACTTGAGAGTGTAGCCTGCGGTGCTACAGCCTGTTGTGCACTTGTACAAGGCCATGATGTCATAGTATCCATTTCCTTTTCCGAATCCGATAGTTCCGCTGGGGGAGGTGCTGGACAGGGAAGTCCACTGTTGGATGATGATGCTGTTGTCAACCCAAAGCTTCACGCGCTCTTGGTTGCCAGCGCTGAACAGATTCATCGAGAACGTGTACTGCTGTGCTTGCGATGGCCGCACAAATCCGACCCAGCGAACTCCAAACTGGGAGAAAGAAAGAAGTCAGTACACAAGGCCAGAAGAGGAGGAGCAAGGAGGGGTACCTTGCTTCCGCTCAACGACGTAGGGAGGCTTCCGTCTGCAGACGACCAATCCAAGATGTTGTCTACTCTAGATGATTGAGGATTTCCCTCACCGAAGTTCAAGGAGACAGTGTTGTCAAGGTCATTGTAGTAGGTGCTCGTAAGCCCTCCAGCGCTGACAAGTGAAGTGACGACAGTGTACTGTCCTTTCCTCGTTCCAGTGAAGACGGCACTGTATGTGGAGTCTCCGTTGTCGACAACATCCGCACGGATGATCCGAGGGCACTGCGGGCAGTAGAGAGGGCCCTGCGACCCGAGGCAGCCGGACACTGTGTACAAGTTGCGAGAGGCGAGCGGAGAGTCGGTGAAGGACTGAGAGACGACAGCAGTGCGATTAGCGAAGTACATCGCAATAGTCCTCTTCTCCCCGGACCCATCAGCAGACAAAGTGTATCCCACGTATGCCCCAGCGGTTATGGAGGCCGAGCTAGCAAGTTGAATCTCCCTCACAGCCAAGGATACCGTGACGACCATTGGGGAGGAAGGACTGTTCGAAGGGCAGGAGACTTGAGGAGGACTGGAAGGTGAGTATGACCTGCAGGCATCAACGTCAGAACAAGCGCACTGCGGGAGGACAGAAGGGGCTTCACCTTCCGCTGTTGGTGATGACGATTTTAAGACCTGTTCCAGTGCTGGAATTGATGCATTTGCCCATCAAACCCCATCCTGAGCATCCACCGCTGCAATTGACAACCAAGTCTCCAGCAAAGTAGCCAGAGCCCTGGTCGTCAATGGTGGCAGCAACGACCGAGTATCCCACAGCTTGCACTGTTCCCTGGTCGATGACTGTGTTGCACACCTTGGGGATGAGCTTCACGCTTCCGCTGCTGGCGTCACAGGGGCGACCACCATCTTCCCATCCGTGGATGATGAAAGAAACCAAATCCTCCGAACTGATCGTGGAGGGGATGCTGGTTGCAAGCGTGATGGTGGCCCCAACAGACGAGATGATCTTGGTCTTGTGCTGCTGCATTCCCGTCGCATCGTTGATTGTCAACCACATTCCTCTCCAGTCATCGTTCGTCGGCGACGAAGTGTCCAACACGAGCTGGCTGGTGCTCACAACCGACTGGATCGATCCTTGGATCCAAGGAGTGTTGTTGGCCTGAAGGTAGGCAACCTTTGCAACATCCAGCTGTCCTCCAGCATACCCGAGGATCCTCGTCCAACGGTCGATGCAAGGACCTGAGGTGAACATGATGTTGTAATCGGTGTAAGCATCGTCCACAGCGCTGGCAGCACTGTCCAGGTACGCAACAGTCTTGGAGGCGTTAATTGCATAGACGCACGTCGTGTCAGGCACTGCAGGAAGAGCCTCGCTCTGCAAACACACAAGAGGTCAGCAACATCTACAAAGATTCGATCCATCATTTACCAGTGTGGCAATACGATTCGAATCGTACGCTACGATCGTCAGGTTCACAGACTTGGCAGCGTCACAGCCGCTGATGGTCAATGCTGCCCCTACGTAGACATCGGCAGTTGCAAAATGTCCAGGCTGGAGCATAATCTGAGTGGTGGATGAACCGACGGGAATGACCCGCCCGGTGGAATCTGAAACAAGAGAGATTCCGACGATCTCATTGATATATGTTCCTCCACGGATGAGGTCGCCCTGCAGGTTCGGGCCGTTGGAGCCGACCTGAGGAGGGTAGGGAGCACATTCTGCCGCGTCACTGCAAGCAGCATCCATCTGGTATGTCGAGCTGTCAGGGGACCTTGATCCAGTGTAGCCATTGCAGAGAGTGTCACGCCCGGGATTCAAGGATTGGCAGCCATCGGAGAAGGCCCGGACGACTGAAAACGCAACGTGTCACCAAGAAATTTCATAGTCGTGGAAGCCATCACAACAATAAAATGATTTTCACAGAAGTTACTTACCGAACAGATCGCCGCCAATACCACGGACATTGTTGTACGCATCCTTGCTCTGGATCAAGAAGGACGCTTCTTGACCCGCAGTGGCAAGTGTCAATCCAACTCCATGTACCTCGCACGAAGGCGCGAAGGCAAGGGCTGGATTCACTCTTACCCTCTTGTATGTTCCTGAAACTACATGAGCCGGGTACAAGCTGTCTCGGGGGACGGTAGCATTGTTCCATTTCAATCTGAGCAACGCTCCGGACCCAGAAGAAGCAAGGACCTTCTTGTACTCAACCTTAATGCTGTACATTTCTCCAGGGAGGTAAGCATTCTTCTGGGTCTCAAGGGCTGTTGCACTGAGAGAGACCCACTGATCGATGAGAAGGCTGTTGTCGATCCAAAGCTTCACTCGCTCTTCCTTTCCGTTCTCGTTGAGCTCCATAGCGAAGACTCCGTCCGACACATTCGGATCAATCCTCACCATGCCAGTCCATCTGGCACTGAAGCTTCCGTCCGAGGCAAGACTGCAAAGTGATTCAGAAGAAGGAGAAGGAGAATCACATGACTCACGAGTATGGTCCATCCAAACCAGCTGTTGACCAGTCAATGTTTGTTGTAAGACAGTTCGTTTGGCCCATGCCGCAGTCGAAGCTGTTGCGCGCAGTTCCGAAGCTAGGAGTGTCATAAAACGTTGCCATGAGGCCCAGGCCTGGAACACTACGGAAGGTGCCGCTCCTGTAATCGAAGTTGTAGGCAACCTCATCGATCGCAACCGTGTGCGATCCTGCCCGGGTCTGTACGTATCCAAATGGACGACGATTGCCCGAGAAGGGTCCGAACGCTTTGCGGAAAGGAGTCAGAAGAACAACGAGCTATGCATGGAGAATTTACCTGTTGCTGTCGAAGAGTTTGGAACCGGCTGGAGCCTGTAGAATCCAAAGTCGCTGAAGGTTGTGACGCCATATGAGAGGTTCTGTGCCATGTTCGTGTCGGTCTGTATTTTGCTGTCGACTTGGCAAGCAGTTCCATGAGCATTCAAAGTGCTTGGATACTTGCAAGGATAGAGCACCACTGGTGAGACCTCCTCTAGTGGAACTGAAGTTGCGTTCCAAAGCAGGGCAAACACGTAGGGTGAAGTAGAGAGCTTGCGGTAGTCAATCTTGATGCTGTGAACCAGACCATCGTTCTGGTAAGATCCGATTGGAGCAGTAGATGACAAGGAACTCCACTGATCAATGATCAAAGACTGATCAATCCACAACTTCACTCGGTCAGCACTTGACACATTCACAGTGAAGTCATAGAGCTCTGAGTAAGATGGGCGGATCGTTCCTTCCCAACGCACACTCCATCCATACTGGGAGGTTGCGAAGGGAGTTGCAGACGAAGAGAAGCTGAAATAGCCTGGGGTGCTTGCGACTCCGTTGCCGATCGTTGCACCAGTAGCCGTTGCCTGCGTTGGAAGAGCAAAACCAAGTGCATCATAGTAAGTGGCCTGGAGACCAGTGCCGGCAAAGGTGATGCCAGACTCTGTGTCAGAGTCGTCAGGGAACATACGGGCAACGAGGATATCGTTGGCATCGTCCCTAAGGTTGCCATACATATCTTTGCTCCAAACCTGTTCGTGATATCAGCAAGTTACATTTGATCAAATTCGACTTACAGAGAACGAGGCCTGCACTCCTGCTGTGGCAATGGTGAGGCCAGCGCCTGCGACGGATGAAGTCGTTGCGCAAACCACAGTTGGATGGACGAACAACGTGTTGAATCCTCCGTTGGGACCTCCAGAGTTGGAAGGAAGTCCGACAACATTAGATTCTACCCGTAGGTTGGAGTTTGACACGATGTCTTTGACTTGAGAGTTCGATTGCCAGTACAACTGCAAATTCTTGTCTCCAACTGCTCCTGTAACATACTCGACTTCGAGGTCGTAGAAGACTCCCTGAACCATCTGGACGGTAGCTGAGAACTCATTTGCTGCTGTAGAGTTCCACTGATCGATGATGGTGACGTCATCAAACTTCAGTCGCACTCCTCCATCAGTGACTACGGTGAAGGTGAAGATTTCAGAATAGTTGCCATTCACAAATCCAACCCAACGAGCGCTCCAGCAGCCCTGGTATGGTGAAGAAGCATTGAGGGGATTGTTAGAGCCCCATGCAAAGTCCAAGGTAGTTTCCAATTCAGTTCCCAACAGTTTGCCTTGTTCCAAGAGCGACCCAACAAAGTAAGTGCCCCACATACCTCTGCCGCCAGTGTCCAATTCCTGAATCACGTTCTGGAAGGTTCCAGATCTTGTTACAACGTAGGTCACCTCATACTTTCCGTTCTGATCCCACACAGGATTATTCAGCTCACCATTGACATCATGCAGTGTTTGCCAATCTTGGTGCACGAAAGTTCCATGGAATGCCTGGCTGGTTGAATCGACAAGCGTTGCACGGGCGATGAAGGCATCATCTGTGGCGTCCCTTTGGTTGTCGTAGGCATCACGTGCAGTCAAGGTGAAAGTTCTTGTAACACCAGCAGTGGCAATCGTGAGAGAATCTCCTAGCACGTTGCAATTATCAGCACTGATCTCAGCTGGTTTGACATCGACTCGAAGGATTTCATTCGTTCTTGTTCCTTGTCCTCTGCATTCGTCGTACCTCAACGAACCAGGTGTCGTTGGGCATCTGAACAAGAAAGTCAATCGAACGGCTGTAGATAACGGAGTAATTCTCACCCGTTGGTCTTGCTCCACTGGGAGATTCTTGGAACTTTCCAATCTACATTCCATACCTTGCTGGAATCATAGTAGTCTGTGTCCCAAATATGATAGTCGTCCCTCTGAACTTGAGAAGAGACACGAGTGGAGAACAAACGATCCGAACGGATGACACCTGTTGCGAAAGTGCGTCAGGATGATCCGACGAATCCAGCATCTATACTACCTCTTGTGACAACATCGGTTGAGTTCACAGCAGGCTCGCCGTACAAGAGCGGAAGGCGACTAGCCACGTTCTCGTACTCAAGTCTGATTCCGCGAAGATTCTGAGTGGATGTGATCTTGTAGTCTACTTGGATGTTGTAGTATTCGTTGGGCATGGGGAAGGTAGCAGTGCCACTGTATGATGGTCCGGCTCCAAGGGATACCCACTGATCAACAAGCAGACTGTTGTCTACCCACAACCTGACCCTCTCAGAGCTCTGAGCATTGCTGGTGGAGGGATCCAGAGAGGGGAGGGAAACGTAGAATGTGTATTCATCCATTCTGCTTGGTCTCACAAATCCCATCCAGCGGACTGAGAATCGTCCATCTGTGACAGAAGATGGATATGGTCTGCTAGCAAGTCAGTATCAACTACACTAGATAAAGTATTCACCTGTCAGTGAAGGAGCTTCCGGACCAGTCCACGGCTGGTTCCTGCACAGCCTTCTTGGGCACAAGGTTGCCGCCTACGATTCCTCCTGCAAACGAGATTCTGGGATAGAAGCTCTGTCCAGAGCCGCCATCACACGTGATGGTAGGTGGATACTGAGCTGAGTAGCCACTGCCCTGATCAGTGATGGTAATCATCGATACCGTTCCACTGGTCACATTGCAAATACAAGTCAATCCGCTGCCAGTGCAAGGAGTGTTGCAAGTTGCTGTGCAAGTTGTATCGTATGGATTCACGGCAGTTCCGGTGACGAGAACGTCGTACACGCCTCCATCAAGCAGTGCTCCAACCGTATCAGAGGAATCATAGTACGTTGCCGTTAGTCCTCCAGCTTCGAATATGTTGAAGTTCAAATCGTGGGATTGGAACAAGCGAGCACTTGGAATCAAAACAGCAGTACCATTGTACTGACAAGATCTTCCAACGCACTGTGAGCAAGCATCTGAAAAAAAGGTTAGTATGTGATCAAACAGCTAGTCAAGCATGACTATACCGATTCCGACAGTTGACGGACAATCGGTCAGTATCTGTTCAGCAAAGATGTATTCCAGAGAAATCTTGGTCAAATCATACGACGTAGTGTTGACGTGCTTGTAGTCAATCCTAATGTCGTGGAAGTCATTGACGCTGTCAAATTGAAACGTTCCTTCATAGACAGCCCAGCCTGTTGAGGTATCCACTGCAGTGGCCAAGGAGAGCCATTGATCGATAACTAGGAAGTTGTCAACCCATAGCCTCACTCTTTCTGTCTCAGTGTTTCCGATGATGGTTCGAAAAGTGTATCTTTGAGCAGTTGCAGGACTGAAGAAGCCAGCAAATCGGACTCCAAAGTTGGTGGCGTCGGTCACGCACCAGCTGTCAACGGCACTTGAGCTTCCGACGACATCTACAACTGGGCTGATCTTGGAGCTGACAGGATCTAGCCATGGTTCCTTGATGAAGCCATCCCAAGGTCCAGCACCGAAGTCTGAAGAGATCATGTCATAGTAGGTCGCCATCAAACCACCCGGAAGTGCTTGGGAGACCAACACGTCATGAAACTTCTTGCGAATTCCGCTGAAGCCGATGTCTTGATATTGTGCCAACTTGCTTGCAGAGTACGTGTCAATCTGCCAGCCGTCATCGGAGAGTGCATTTCTCTTCCAAGTCGCTGTGTATGATGCAGAGTACAATCCAGGAGCAATGTTTGTTACAATGCCAATCCTATTTTTCTTGTTGACGTCGTTGTGGATACCATTGAATCTGGCCCTGACCACAAACACATCGTCGGAAGTTGTTTTGATGTTGCCAAGGTGGTCCAGTGCCTGGATGGTGAAGGAAGCAGGAACACCAGCGGTAGCAAGGGAAAGGCCTTGTCCCATGGCAGTGGACAAAACTCCAGAAGTTCTGGCTGGGAACACAGACGTTGAGAATGGACTTCCAGCGATATGATCAGCGCTCGCGAACAATCTTGAGCTGGGAATAATGAGCTGACTCATTGAAGGAGATTGCCACATGATAGCAGCCGATGACTGACCAGAAATCTCCTTGTACTGGACTTTGAGGTCATAAAGGAGATCTCCAACCAACCAGAGAGTGCCCGACGGCGTCAAGGTGTCCAACGAAGACCATTGGTCAATGATCCACTGATCATCGAGCCAAACCTTGATTCTCTCATCCTTCTCCGCTACCATGGCAGTGAAAGTGTGATCTTCAGCGTACTGGGGCTTGACAAATCCCTGCCATTGAATGCTGAATCCATCGACAATTCCAACGTACTCATTAGGAGTGCTGTCGCCGACATCGAAGTCCACAGTGGGAACAATTTCATTGTAGACAGCAAAGTTGAGTTCAGGATCTCTGTAGTATGTCGTATTCAATCCACTGTAAACAAATACGCGTCAGATGGTCAATCCTTTCTAGAACAAACTGATGTTCACTTACTTGTTCGAAGCCGCAAAGATGGACATGCCTGTTCAATGGATCAATCAAGGCAGCATACTTTTATGAAACACTTACCGAAGTTTCCAGATTTTGTTGTACGGTAGGCCACTGTCCAACGGCCCAAATTCGTGTTGGGAGAAGCACCGAGGTACCTTGCAAGGACGTTGTGTTCTTCGGTTGCTGGGCCATTCAACCTCACGATGAAGTTGTCAACTCCAAGGGTTCTGACGTTGTCAAACGAATCCTTTGCTTGAATGGTGAAGGATGCGGTGAAGCCAGCAGTGCCAATTGTCAGTGATAATCCGTTCACTACACTCATCGCTGCACAGATGACGCCCGGCTCGACATAGACGCTTGAAGTCTTTTGGTCAGTGCCAAGATAAATCCCGAGGTTGTACTGTCCCTCGACCTTTGGAAGATATGAGACTTGGTAGGTACCGTCTGCATTGTCGACGATGCTTGCAGATAGAACGATTGGTGCAAGCGACTTGCTGAGCTGTGCAGTGAAATTGTCGCCACCCTGCAATCTGAGGTTGTTGAAAGTGTCCTTCACTTGAATTGAGAAGGATGAAGTCACACCGGCTGTTGCAATCGATAGGCCCTCTCCAAAGACAATGCTGTACAATAAAAACAGGGGAGAAAGAAATGAGAATGAGTCAGTATTTGCTTGCGAACTCAACACAATGACAACATACCTTGTATCAAAGTCCGTCAAAGCTGGATTGACAGTGATCGTTAAGGGGCTTCCATTCACATGAGAAGCAGTAAAGAGCTTGTCAGAGGTGATCTGGTAGAATTGATCTCCAGTAGATGAGTTGTAAACGAATTGCAGGTCTCCAGTTTGGCTAGCCGTTGACTGTTTGTAGAGCACCTGGATCTCGTAGTATTCATTCTCAACTGGGAAGGAGAAAGTTCCCGTGGGAATGCTGGTAGCGAGCGAAGACCACTGCAAGAGAATCAGGAATAAGATTCAACAGGACGAGACCGACCTGATCAATGATGAGCTCGGAATCGAGCCAGAGCTTCACCCTGTCGTTGTAATCCGTGGATTGATATGGCTGGAACGTGTAAATGGAAGTCGATTCGGCTCGGAAAAGTCCAGAATATCGAATCGTGACATCAGTTGAAGCTGTGATCTTTGAAATCGTTGGAGAAGACAGAGCCTCGTAAGGTTGGTTGTAGTAGGTTGCGGAAACGTCATTGTAATATGTAGCAAATACACCTGTAACACAAAACATCAATCGCTATAGATCTCCTAAACTGTAATTGACTTACCACCGGTAACGACAAAGGCCGAGTAGAGAGTGATTGAGGAAGCTGCGGTCACCTCATATTGTACCCTGTAACGTCCTTTCATCACATCTGCACCAACAGTTCCGTGCTTGTCTCGAGCTGAATATGGCATCGTGGAGAAATCGCCACGAGCATCAGCAGCAATGGCGTTGGTAGCGGCTGCAGCAACCACGAACGTATCTCCCCATTTTGTCTTGAGGTTGGAGTACTCATCGCGAGCTTGTATTGTGAATGCTGCTGTCAACCCAGCGGTTGCATATGAGAGCCCTGGACCAGACAACATCGACACAGCGCCACAAGTCACCGCAGGGTTCACGTACAGCTTGAATGGAGATCCAAAGATGTGCTCGGCAGAGTAGTACAAACGAGATGAAGGGATGATAGATTTCATCACACTTGAGCTCGAATAATACAGCCTGCAGTAAGCTTGTTCCTGAGCTTCACGATACTCGACAGTCATCTCATACAATCTGTTCGCCTCAAGGCTCATGGTGCACCATGATTCTTTGTTCACTCCTTCCCAATCATCAATGACCTTGTCCTCATCAATGTATAGCGCAAAGCCATCATCATAAGATGAGGTAAAAGTGTAGACTTCGGACAATTCAGGCTTGAAGTATCCAGTCCACCTTACTGACACGTAGTCAGAGCCAGTCTTTGTCATGTCGTTGGATCTTGGGGTCACAAACGAAGTCGACCAGTTGTAATTGATCTCTGTGGAGATCGACGTGTCCGAGGGATCTCCCATCATCCACATGTTGTTGTACCAGCTGGCTGCCAGACCGCCTGCCTGAGGACGTTCGACATTCACTGTGTAATCACCGCTCTGCGTCGGAGTATATTCAACCCCATAGACACCAGGGCTGGCGACGATGGAAGCTGGCTTTGAGAAGATGGTCGTGTTCGGGCCCTTCAGGTAGACGATATAGCTGTCCTCATCCAGGTCACGCAGATTGGCATAAGCATCACGACTTGTGATGCTGAATAAGGCCTGAAAGTGATCAAGGTCAGAGTCAATGTCAGAACACGAAGAGGCTCATGGTCACCTGCTTTCCAGCCGTCGCGGTCGTGAGGCCGTTTCCTGTAGCCAAACAATGTTGTGGATCAGTTCCAGTTGCCACGAGGTCCAGCATGACATCATTTGGAACAGGAAGTTTTGTGAATAGCCTGGAGGACATGATTGGATTCTCTCCATTCGCTTCGAGTCCCGACAAGGTGTTCAACCAAGTGAGCTTGACGCGCGGTGGCTTGGTCGATGTTGAGTCACGTTTGTACTCGAATTGCAGATCATAAAGACCAGTTTGCGAATTTGCGAACAAGATCGTACCGGATGGGAGGTTTCCATCCAAGGATGACCATTGGTCAATCACAAGGACGTTGTCAAGCCAAAGCTTGACACGCTCCTGGCTTCCAGCGGCATCGGGCAATTGAGCAAAGAAAGTGTACGCTGCGTTCGAAGTAGGTTGGATGAAACCTGACCACCTGACTTGAAACGATCCTGTCAACGAATCAATGCTTCCAGGGGGCTTGAGACCAGGCACCAAAACATACTCCGTCGTAGAATCCGGACGAGTGCAACCAGTAAAGTTGTAGGTAATTGTTGACAAACGGTAATCATCGGCAACTTCACCATAAGGACCAGCAACTCCGGTCTGTGAAGTAGGGCTCAAGGCAGTTGCCAGATGAATGGTACCTCCCGCAGCATAGTCGGTAGAGACCTCATAATCAGAAATCATGCTGAATTGACCTTTGCAAGTTCCCTTGGTAAAGACAATTCTCCAGTCACCCATGATCTTGTAGCTATCGCCTGCTGATGGAGTGCAAGCCGCACTGCCGTCACTCCAAGTCGACGCCAAGGTTGCACATTTGCTTCCTCCGATGATCTGAATGACGGAGGTTGCATCAAGTGCCACTGAGAAGCTAGGTGAAACCGTCGCTACGGTGCCATTGTAGCTCACGATCTTTCTGCACTCCCCGCTTCCAGTACCAGACGTCACACAGATAGTGGAGAAGTTATAGTAATTTTCAGCTGCGTTGATAGCTGTTGGAAGCATCACCGATGCCGAATCGGACAATCCCTGCTCAAGTTGAACCAATCTCCTTCCAGGTCCAACGTAGCTTTCTATCTTGTTCCATCGACCCTTGCAAGTTCCTGATGTAAACTTGATGTACCTGTTGTTGTAATCATCGTCAACGCCTGATGTCTCAGGGCCAAGTCTGAAATGATTTTGCATTGAGCAGTTGATTCCTCCATGAAGATTCATGTCTGTGTATTCTTGAATGCTTCCGACGCCATCATTTGGAGAAATGATCGTGGCTGAGTACGGTTCTTCATCCAAACGATCCCATGAGCCATTGGCAGGAAGTCTGAGCGAAGTTGTGTCGATGCCTGTTGGGCTTTGGCCCTTGATCCAACCCGAATTACGTTGCCACTTGCTTCCAACAATCTTGTACTCTGAAGAAGAGTCTGGGGTTTCCCCGAGGGCAGCAACAACAACAGTCCTATCGGACAACTCACCAATAATTGTTCGGACCGACAACGCAGCTTTGCCTCCCACGATTGCAATCGTCATGCCGATGTAGCTGTTCGGGCTTGCCTTCGATGAGTCGAGGAGAAGATGGGTACTGTTGCTTCCGTCCCTCAAGAAACCAAGTTCCAAATGATCAGTGTCAGAGCGATCGTACCCTGGCGAGGCACACTCAAACGAACTCAGGGGAAAGCCGATCTTCCATTTTTGATACACGCAGGCTGAAGGGAAGTCTGCTTGAGAATCCGCAGTCTGATTGTATCTGTGGAAAGAAGAGTAGTAGGATGTGGGCGTGCCTGTGTAGTAAGTGGCAAACAAGCCTCCACTCAAGGCATAAGAAGTGAGCACTTTGTAAGCACCACGCTTGGTACCCGTGAAATTTGCAAGGTACGAGGAATCGCCAAGATCAGTGGCAAGCCCATGAATAGTTTGCGGACACTCACTACAATCAGCTGAAGCCCTGGATTGCTCATACTTCTCCATTTGGTCCCACGTATCATAAGGAACAGCATTGATGATGAAGAGATCGCCTCCTACTCCTCTCTCGTTGTCATACTCATCGTTTGCTTGAATGTTGAACAGAGCTGGAGCACCAGCAGTAGCTGAGCTAAGGCCAGCACCATCAACTATACTTCTGTCGGCACTCGTGGGAGCCGGCATGACCGAGAAGGGAGGGAATGGACTGTCCATCACTTCTCTGATCCGGAAGAGGTTCGATGAGGGAATGATTTCCTTGTTTTCGCATGTGCTACCTGGAATTTGACATTGCCACTTGAGAACTGCTTTCGCTTCAGAACCTGCAAATTGCTTGTACTCCATTTTGACGTCGTAATAGTTGGGGCGTTTCAGCCCAATGGTCGCAGAGAAGACCGTGGAACTGAGGTGGTCATAAGTGTCCCATCTGTCAATAATCAGACTGTTGTCGACCCACAATTTGACACGCTCGTCGTATTCAGCAATGGAAGCTTCAAAGGTAAAAACCTGATTGTCCTGATCTACGACGTCATCATCCAACTGCAAGAGACCTGCCCAGCGAACAGAGAAGCTCAGCCTGTCTGAGAGCAAATTTGCCCAATTTGACTTGTCATATCCAATGTCTGTGTCAGAAATGCTGAAGTTTAGAACCGGATCAACCCTCCACATCGCGACGTTGTTGAGATCTTGATCGTCATAGAAAGTTGCATCAAGACCAGAACCCTGAGCCAGGGAAGTATGGACTTGATAGTCTCCACGAATGATCGGAGTGTACTCAACTAGGTACCTTCCCGACAGAGGGAACATCCTGCTAGATGGAACAATTGGGCCCCCTGCAGTGACTCCAAGAGTGTATGTGTCGCCATAGCTGCAGCGCATTCCAACCACAGAGACTGTTGCAAGCTCAAGATGTGGAAGCGCAGCTGTATTTCCTTGTGCTCTGGAGACCAGAATCCTGTTTGAGCCGATGATGTCAAGAACGAGCATTATTTCAAAATCAACTTGGATGTACAGCCCAGCAACAAGATTGAGATCTGCAATTACATTATCACTGAGTGAGATGATTTCATCGAGCTGGGTGATGTTTTTGCCCACAGCTAGAGCGTTGGTTGCACTCGAGATCCCGGACTTGCCGAGAGATTCCCATTCAAGTTTGGCACATCGGCTGCCTCCATCGTAGTAGGATATTTTTGCCCATTCACCGCTGCAGATTCCCGAGGTGAAACGAATGTAATAGCTCTCGTACTCAAGATCCCGAGAGGAAGCAAGGGTACTCAAATGCACATGCTGATGGTCATTCTTGCAAGATTCATCATCAGCTTGAAGAGTTCCTACATTAGAAAGCCATTCACCAACTGGAAGGGATCCTGCAGTTCCTGTCGCATTGGTTACAACCGAAGAGTTGATTCCAAACTTCACGAGGTAATTATCGCCCGCTTGTACACCACAAGTTGCCCCTCCATCGAGCCAGTTGTTCCCTTGGTCTAGGAAC